AAGTGCTGAAAGAGCTGCAGTGTTTCCTGAGGAGGGCAGGAAATTATCCAAGCCCGCTTCAGCTGCCTGCAGAATGGATCTGAAGGCATACACTTAGGAGCACGGTTGTGGCTAGATTTTGAAGCTGGTGAGAGCAGTCTCGGCATAACAGAGCTATGCTTTCTGCCTGTGAGTGCAGCAGGTTCCTAGCAGCAGAATGCTCCCAGCCCCTGCCCTGCAGCTGGGCATCCTGCTGCTGCGCACTGTGGTGGCCGGAGCACCACGGCTGGGCCTTTCTGAGCCAACCCAACCTCACAGGACAGCCCGTGCAGGCTGAGGATCACAGTGGCAGCCCGAGGCCTGCAGCCCTGCCATGCCCAGAGCCCGGCACGCTGTGTTGCAGGCCTGCCAGGAGCCGTGGGGCTGCTGCAAAAGCTCCTCGAGAGCTGTCAGGTCGGGGCTGTGCGATGCATCAGGGCAGCTGTCTGGAATGTAGGGCATTGGGACAGCAGCGCGAGGCTGGGCGAGCAACAACGCTTCAGGTTTGGAAATAGTGACAGGTCCTCGGGCAGGCTGGTGCAGGGCCAGGAGGAGGAGCCGGGCAGAGCTGCGAGCAGCAGGAGCGAGTGGCAGCGGGCGAGGGGCTGCGGGCAGGGCGACGGGCAGCCGGCTGCCTGGGGCTGCGGAGAACAGGTAACGGAGCGTTTGTGGCTGCTAACTGTACCGCTTCGGCCTTGGGAATGCTACTGTGGGTGGTTTGTTTGTTTGTTTGTCTGTCTCTGCCAATCAATAATTACTTGTGAAAAATGTGATTTTCCCATCAAAAAGAAAAATGGAGAATTCTCGTTATGCATTTTTTCTGTGCATTCTGTGATTCCTGTCCCAGGGAAAGACAGAACCAGAGGAGCTCGTATTCTTGTCAGTGGGCTTCGGTGCTAGAGGAAAGATGGACGTTAGGTTTGTTGTAGGAAAAAATACATAAATAGCATGAATATAACAAGCCTCTAAAGAAAAGAGACGTATTTGCCTTTTTATTGCTTCCTGTCTACCATAACGACCTGTTCCTCATTTAACTTCTCCTCCCCTTTTTAAAACACAAAATAGCATCTCCTACATAAAAGTGTTAAATCCAGAAGGCTCAGAAGGCATTCGTACCACATGGGACCACAGTGGTAGTTTACACCTTCCACTCTTCCTTCAAGATTCAGCAGCATGTTGGCCCCATAACGTGACCGAGCAATGTTTATTATTGGCAGCTCCCCACCTGACCGATCTGAGTTTTATGGTCATTTCTGTCTAATGATCCTGCTCACAAATAGGTGTGTAGGGAAGGCTCGGGATCAAAGCATAAGCCACAGATTTCACAACATTTTCTTGGCAAAACAAGGTGTTGATTTAGCTGCTGGCTGGAATCTGCACACCTTCATTAAGGTGTTCTCCTGGGATGACTCTGATAGCATCTTCCCTCCTGTCTCCATGGTACAGCCCTCAGTCCAGCAGCACGGCCTCGGCTGGCACAGCGCTGTGAGCAGGTGGGAGCCATGGCGGAGCGGCACACGGCCGTCTCCTTTAGGGGTATCTCAGGCCCAGCAGCAGCCCTATTTTTGGCCTCAGAACAGGTGCCCAGAGCCTTGTTTACAAAGGACAGGCGGGCAGGCGTCAATCTGGGGGAGATTTCACGTGCCGTTCTGTAGCAGCTGCATCCACACGGCAGCTGTTTCCGCATCCCCCTGTCCATCCCAGACTGGGCACGCAGGCCTCCAAAATCATGTGTGCTTGAGGCCTGCCTTACCTTCTGCTTCACTGGCAGACAAAGCTTTTTGCAGTTACCTGGACTGGAGAAGGGACTTATTTAACTTGTGAAGTGCCTGAAGGACTCAGAGATGTAGAGGTGCCCTGCCTATTAACTGGTCCTGGTATTGGCAAATGGTTTAAAAGAGAGCAGTTAAGTGTGGCTGGAGGGCAGAGCTGGAGCTCTGCTGCTGGTGTCTGCAGCAGCACGGCACGAGGAAAGGCGTGTGGTGCAGAAATGAGTGCAAAAGAACAGCTGGCCTTGGTGGGGGTGTGAGGGCTGTGGTCAGGCCCTGGTGGTCCAGCAGGCACTGCAGCACCGCCATGTGAGCTCAGGCACTGTGCTGCAGGTACCACCTCGTGCCTGTGCTCTGTTGGTGGTTATAGGTGCTATCTGTCTGTCTGTTCTGCAACAACAGCCCCTCAGGTTTTTCCCTGTGTGGCTAGAAAGAGCTCTGTTTCTTTGCTTCTCCCTAAAGAGAATCTTCAGACAAACCCCAGCAAGTCCCTGTCTTGCGGGTAAGGCATTGTTTTCATGCTCTCTTGGTGCTGTAATGGCTGTAAAAAGGAAATAGTTCAGTGTTTATAACAGCAGTGATGCAATGCTTGTTCTTTTCAGCTTCGGGATTCCACTCCCATAGCCTTCTCCCAGGCCTGGGAGATGGGAGATACTGGGTGGAAAAAGCAGACACCTGCTTTCTGCCTGGGAAGACTGTTCCCATGGGCCTTGTTTTGAGGCTCTTAGAAGGGGTGAGTGGCTGCTGGGAGGAGAGGTAAAGCAGGGCTGGCGTGGGCCAGGAGTCTTCAGCTTTCCTGTCTGCCTTCACTCCTCATTCCCATAGAACCCCAGGCTGCATGTGGGCTCTCTGATGCCCGCTGCTGCCCGCTGTCCTTGGGCAGACAGCTCCCTCAGCCCTGCCTGCTCCCAGGTCACAGCCTTCCTCAGGCTGCCCGTGTAGACAGCTGTCCCTCACAGCCAATACTGACCAAAAGTGGATGGATTTTCCTTGGTCTTTGCATGCATTTGGTTCCGTGTGCATTAATCACCTGAGAGTTGTCTGGGCTTTGCTTAATTTTCTGAATACCTGGTATGGAGCAAAGCCACTCGCACAGCAGCGGAAAATTCTCAGGGCCATGCCGGCACATGGCTTCTTAAAATAGTGAACGCCTTCAGCGGGAGGAATGCGCTGACCCGTTTAGGTGGCATTGCTGAGCTGTGTGTGAGAGCGCCTGGCGATGCTGGGGCTCAGACTCAGCACCACCAGAAAAACACAGGGATGCTGCTGGGCGTGCGCTTCTAATTTTAGCTGAGAGCCTTCCGATGGCCGGCTGGAGACTGCAACATCTCTGACCTCTTCTGAAAACACTGAATGCTGAACAACCGATTTACACTGCTAAGAAAGTATTAACAGAGCTTTACAGAAATGAGCCATCTTTAATAATTGGCTTCAGCCTCCCTGCGGCACACTGCCGTGCCTGGAGCAGCCCTGTGGGTGACCCACACAGCACAGCCCCCTGCCCTCCATCCCTGCTGGTGCCGGCCCTCGGGGCTGGAAGCGCTCAGGCGCATTATGAGCGAGTTATGAAGCCACCGATTGCCCAACCAAGGTTTTTAATTATTATTTTCATTCTAAGCGCTCCATTTGCCCTTTTCACACGCGGTACCCTTGCCACGTGCAGCTCCTTGGGCCATCCTGGGGCACCTGCTCCTCCCTGCCCACCACTGTCCCTTAATCTCTCCTGTTTCTGAGCTGAGCCCGGCAGGGCCGGCCCAGTCCCAGCAGTCAGAAGGGCACACCAGGCAGGAGGGTCTATTTTAAGCAAAACATTTGCTTCAGGCCATGTGCTTTTCAGAGCCACATTTTTCCTTAGGCCATATGCTTTTAAGATCTGATGTCGCCTTTGTAATAAGAACTTTAGCTTGTTACTGTTTATATCTTTGGTTACGGTGGTGCACCTGGACGGGGGGGAGGCGGGGTGGCAGCGTCCGCCGATTCTGTTTTGCTGCTGATGCGGTCCCAGCGTCCCGGCAGCAGGCAGCACTGCTGGGTGGGAGCAGCAGGCAGCCTTCGAGGAAGCAGCGACTGGCCGCATCGCTCCTGGCGTCGCACAGGGCCTCTCTCGGTGCCCGATAATGAGCTTAATTTAGCTCCGCACGTCCCCGCCTTCGCCTCACCGCCGGGCGCCGCGGCTTTGCGAGAGTTCTTTCGCTGAAGGGCAGAGCAGAAATAGCGCGCATCCCGCAGACGGCCGGGCCGCGGGGCGTTGAGGGCCCGGGCGGCTGAGCGGCGCTGCGGGGCACAGCGCGCCTCCGTGCGGGGAGCGGCCGCTCCGAGCGCCGCGCCGAACTACAGCTCCCAGCGCCGCCGTCACGTGCCGCGCGTCACGTGCCCGCCCGGCCCCTTTGTTTTGAGCGGCGCTGGCAGCGGCCGGCGGCACCCGAGAGCTCCGCACCGAGCCGGGCAGCGGACGGCGGCACCGCGGCGCGCGGAGATCCCGGCCCGACCCGGCACCTTCTCGGCTGCGGGTGGCACCGAAACCCGGACGGTGAGGACAGCGGAGAGCGGCGGGAGGGCGCGCGGCGGGCCGGGGGCGGGCGGGACCGCGCGGGACCGCGGAGCGGCGAGGAAGCGCGCGGTGGAGCTCCGCCGCCGAGGAGCTTCGTGCCCCCGCTACGCCTGCGGGCGGCGGGGCGGCCGGCCACTCGCAGCGCTCCGGGGTCGCCGCCACCGTTTCGTAACCCCGCGTCTCCCCGCGCCTCTCCGTGCCCCCGGGCGGCGGCGCGTTGGAGCCCCGCGGCGCGGATTGGGCTGCGGGCGGGGGGGCGGGGCCGTGCGGCGCGGGGTGAAGGTGAGCTGGAGGGCGCGCGTGCGCGCGGCGGCCTCGGGACGGGGTGGCGGCGGCGCGCGTGCGGCTGGGGGCGGCCGAGGGGCGCGCGTCCCCGCCTCCCGCCCGGCTCGGCCCCGCGGCGCTCGGGCTCTGCAGTTACGGCCCCGCGCGGGGACGCAGGGCGGCTGCTCGGCCGTGTAAACAGGAAGGTGGCGGCGTGCGCGGGGAGCGGCCCGCGCTTCCGGGCCTGTTCGTGCCCGCGCTCCCTGCGCGCTCCCCGGCCGCGGGCGCCGCGTGCCCGCGTCGGCGCCGCTACGCGCGGTCCGTCCGCAGCCGGCCGGGCTGAGCTCGCCCCGCGCGGGGCGCGCCCGAACGCTGTGCTCGTGCTGAAGGGTTTTGTTGTTATTTCTGCCGCTCGGTTTGGGGTATTTCGGGCCTCAATTAATCGTGAGTCTCATGTCCGAATCAGTTCCTGTTTTTGCCGGGTGATTTTTGAGGGCGCTCGGGCGCGCTATGTGTCACAGCTTTGTTTATTGCCGAATCTTGGCCTCGCTGACACTTGTAACAAAGGAGTTCTGCAGTGCCGCTAACCGTGCCTCGTCAGTCAGCTCTGGATCCTTATTGCCAAGGTATTGCTATTTATCAGGCGGCTTCCATCGTTCTGACGCTCCTCCTATTAAACCAACCACAAACGCTCCCTTAAAACGAACAGCTTTATTTTGCTGTGTCGTGAAGAAGGAAGAAAAGACGCTGTGTTTGGTATTGGTGGAAGGAAAGCTTGTGCCTCTTCCTCCACCCTGCTCTGTGGTTGGGCGGCGTGCCATCCCTCGGTGCCTCCTGGCCCTGCCTGTGCAGGCGGCTGTGTCCCAGCCGTGCCAAGGGACCCGGCGTGGAGGTGAAGGCGTGGGGTGGGAGCTGCCTCCGTGTGCAGCAGCACTCGGCCTCAGCAGCTCCCAGGACTGCACCCTGTGGGAGCACGGTGCTGCTGCTGCTGGGAGCCTTGCTGCTAGCTGGCTGCACGGAGCTGCTGCTGCTCTCCGTCCCCTCTGATGGAGCCACTTTTCTCTGTGAGAAAAGAAAACCTTAACCTGCCAGCAAACTGCAGTTGTTAGAGCTGGGGGTAAAAGGGGGCATAATGGTTCCAAGGCTGGTGAGGCACTGGAACAGGTTGCCCAAGGAGGCTGTGGATGCCCCATCCCTGGAGGCATTCAGGGCCAGGCTGGATGTGGCTCTGGGCAGCCTGGGCTGCTGGTTGGTCACCCTGCACATAGTTGGAACTACGTGGTCACTGTGGTCCTTTTCAACCCAGGCCATTGTGTGATTCTATGGTAATGCAGCAGGGCAAGGAGGAGTTCAGTGCGATGTGAAGTTGTTTGTACAGGAGCCTCACTGATACAAGGTGTCAGTGCAGAGGTTCTATGGACCTTAGGGCTTCAGCTAGGGGATGTTTCTGAGGGACCTCTGGTGCAGCTGAGCCTCCAGGCAGCACTGGATGTGGGGAGGCAGAGGAACTGCCTGTTGGTGAACCAGCTGAACTTGGAGATGTGTGTGGGAGCATCCGTGTCAGAGGCAGTTAGTTTGAATGTTTCTGTGGTTTGTGTAAGGTCCTTCCTTGCTGCCCCTTACTGAGGCAAGCAGTCCAGTGCATTTTGTCCATTTAAGACATATAGAGCAAGGAGTGCAAGAAAAGCATACGTGTGTCTGATGGAGCTCCACAAATGACAGTGTTGCAGAGTTATAGAATGGCTTAGGTCGGAAGGGATGTTAAAGATCATGTAGTTTAAACCCCCCTGCCATGGGCAGGAACACCTCCCACCAGCTCAGGCTGCTTTGGGCACCACCTGACCTGGCCCCGAGCACCTCTGGGGATGGGACATCTACAAAACTTCTCTGCACAGCAGTGCCAGCACATCAGTGCCCTCTGGATCAGGAATGAATTCTTAACATCTAACCTTAAATTTCCCATCTTTTTTTCAAAGCCATTTGTCTTTGTCCTGTCATAATTGGGCTGTGTAAAAAGTCATTCTGCTTTCTGCTCATAAGCTCCCTACATATAAGTACTGGTGATGGTCTTATGTAAATATTTGCTTCAGCAGATGTACAGAAGTGACTGGACAGAAATTTAAATCTTATATTCAAAGCAGTAATTTCTTCATTGGAGTTTAATTATTTTTTTTCTTCGTTCTGTCTTGTTTGTGACGTTACAGTATTTATCCCCTGGAGTAGGTTTTGCTCTGTGGATTTTTCTTTAGTCTCCCATTTCTTTAAACCGTGAGGGCATTTAAAAAAAAAAAAAAAAACATTTGGTGACCAATAATTTGGTGCTATTCCTAGTTTCAAGTATAAGGAAGGCAGCACTTCCTCCAGTGAGCTGTCTTAGCCCAGAGGCCTTATTTTCATTTGTTGGTGATTGCATCATGCAGTATCTTTGTAAGTCTTTAACTCCTCACAGAAGAAAAAGCCCAACTCTTGTTTAACAGTCATAGTTTCCTCTCATGCAGCCTGCTGGTGTCCCAGTTCTAACTAAAGACCTGCTTTGTTTTGGAGACTCTCCATTAACTTGAACGAAGCAGTGATTTAAAGCCGTGCCACCAGAATCAATCTTTTAGGGGTTTATATTTAGATTTTCTTTGTTACGTTTCCCTTTCCTGCTGCAAATGCTTCGCTTCTGCCCACGTTCCCGTGCTGAGTAGTATGGAATTGGCTGCAGACAAAGCTGGGTGCTGGCAGCACAGCCGTGGAGGTGGTGATGGCGGTGGCAGAGGCTGTTGTTGTTCTTGGTTTTTATGTGGGCTGCGTCATTCCGGGCAGAATGGTTGGGAAATAAATTCCTCGGACAGAATATCTGTTACAGATCAGGCTGCCTTAATGATGCCTCGTTAGCTGGTTGCTTCAGAGAGATTTTGCTAGATGTGCTCATTGCAGCAGTGCTTTTCAGACAGTGCAGTGACAACTGAGCCCGTTTTAATTCGGACCAAATGAACTATTCTGTAGGATAAAGGAGCCCAACCGAGAATCCACCTTGTAAATGTGTGTGAAAGAGTTTATATGGAAGGCTTAGAAACATCTTTTCTCAATGAGTAGATAGATGTATAGCACACCTCCCTGGTCCTTGTGGAGATGGTGCCTTTTAAAGGTGCTGTGTTTACTTAAGGTAAGAAAGAGTGGCTGGTTGTGTTCTGCATTAAGCAGCGGTGCAGGCGGGTTTGGATGGGGTAACTGCAGCTCTGAACATGCTAACGTGTCAGGAGATCTAATCTGTGTTAGGAACTGATGATTACTCCCTCTCTACATTGGGAACAAGGGAAACCAAAGCACCTCCTCAATTATTTGCAGGAAAAAAAAATCCGTGAGTTTTAAAATGATTCAGGGCGTATCATCCTAGACGTGCACATAGGAAGTACCTGCGTGTGGAATGGTGTCTGTGTGAAGCCTCGGGCTGCTCTGCCCAGCCCTCTGCTGGCCTGGAGTTCTGCTGTACAGCCACCCAGTTCACTTCTAAGTTCAGGAGTGCTGGTGAGCTGTATTGCTGCCAGATCCGCTGACCACATCGTCTCTGATATCCAGGATCTGCACAGTCTGTTGTGTTTTCTTCACCTAAAAATTTTAGTTTTGGTGTTTACTAGCATTTGAGTATTTTTTGCTACTGCAGCACTTTGATAATCTGCACTGGGAGGGACGTTGTGCACTGTGTACTTAAAACTGAAAAGCAAGCAATGTTTTTGCTGGTAATTGTAGTTCTTTGGAGAACAGAAAATTTCTTTCCTCAGTAAACTTCCCTTGATTTTTAGGTTCAGTAGCTTTATACAAATGTTCTGTTTTGCGCGTTAACTGTTTATATTCATTATTAATTCCAGCTTAGGTTATTAGTAAACTAATTTCTCGATATGGGGAGTGGAAAAGTGAAAACAGTGGTCAAGACTGTTCACTGAGATAACTGATGGCTGTTAACCACTGGCAGTGTAAGTGTTATGGTATTTGCGACTACGGGTGGAGGACTGATTTATTTCAACTCAATTTGTATATTGCAATTTTTTTTTTTCCCCCAACCTTTTGGTTAGTTAAATTACAGTGTTACACAAAGGCTCCAAAAGCCAGACGAGCCCAAGCTCTGGAGCTTTGTGCAGGAGAGCCCTTGGTTTGTGTCAGTAAGGCAACCTGCTGAAGCTGAGGTCCCGTTTCACTTGTGCTGAGCTCTAATCCTATGCTAGCAATGCTGGGATGTTCAGAATTTGTCAGCCCTGACACCTGTTCTATGTATAGTATACACATAGTATACGGAGTAGGGTTTGTGTTTAACATGTAACAGATGGTGCTGCCTTGCCCTGCACAAGGTCACTTGCTGTGAGATACTGGGCCAGCCCTGCTAAAGGTGGGAAGCTGTACTGACTGTGTGCCCGCATGGGTGTCTCGCTGTTTATCGTGGTGAAGCGAAGAACGTATCAGACTGACTGCTGAAGTGTTTTTAATTTTTCAGACCGTAGCACTGCGGAGAAGAAACTCGGCCAACTTTTCTCAATGACTCTATAGCCAACTGATGTAACAATGGTACTAATATTGGGACGCAGACTGAATAGAGAGGATAGTGGGATACGAGATTCCCCTGCAACCAAGCGGAAAGTTTTTGAAATGGACCCAAAGTCGTTGTCAGGCCCTGAGTTTTTTGACTTCTCCTCGGGATCATCGCACGCTGAAAGCATTCTGCAGATCTTCAATGAGTTCCGAGACAGCCGGCTGTTCACGGATGTCATCATCTGCGTGGAGGGCCGGGAGTTTCCCTGCCACCGCGCGGTGCTCTCAGCCTGCAGCAGCTACTTCAGAGCCATGTTTTGCAACGATCACCGAGAAAGCAGGGAGATGCTAGTGGAGATCAATGGCATTTTAGCTGAAGCTATGGATTGCTTCTTGCAGTACGTGTACACTGGCAAGGTGAAAATCACTACGGAGAACGTGCAGTATCTCTTTGAAACATCAAGCCTCTTTCAGATCAGCGTTCTGCGCGACGCCTGTGCCAAGTTCCTGGAAGAACAGCTGGACCCTTGCAACTGCCTGGGCATCCAGCGCTTCGCAGACACGCACTCGCTCAAGACGCTGTTCACCAAGTGCAGGAATTTTGCACTGCAGACGTTTGAGGACGTGTCCCAGCACGAAGAATTCCTCGAGCTGGGCAAAGATGAGCTTATTGACTACATCTGCAGCGATGAACTGGTGATCACGAAGGAAGAGATGGTGTTCGAGGCTGTCATGCGCTGGGTGTACCGGGCAGTTGAGCTGCGAAGGCCGGTGTTACACGAGCTGCTGACACACGTCAGGCTCCCGCTGTTGCACCCCAACTACTTCGTTCAGACTGTGGAAGTGGACCAGCTGATACAGAATTCCCCAGAGTGCTACCAGCTGCTGCACGAGGCCAGGAGGTACCATATCCTTGGCAATGAGATGATGTCTCCCAGGACTCGGCCACGCAGGTGAGGGGATAGTTTATTTTTTATGATTTGCTACAGTCTCCTAGAAAAGAGTTATTTGCATTTGACCTTGGTTTGCATTCCAGAGCACTGCATTTATACCTGTGTACTTCCCCACATGTGCCTAGAAAATAGAAATAAGGCAAGGTTTTTTTTACAGATAAATGAAGGTATTCTACGTTGCAAGTGAAATATTTTTCAAAGGTTAAGGTTTGCTTGATGTTGTCTTATTTCATGCAGTGGCAACATCTTGGAATCAACTTGCTGTGCTACAACATGTAAACAATTCCATTTTCTGACATCCTTTCCTTTTTTGCAACAGTCACATAAGTGCGCATTGTGTTGCAAACAATATGGATGGGGATACATATACAGAGGATTTATTTGCTACGCTGTAAAATGCTTTAAAAAATTGCAGTAGACAACAGAATAACAGCTTGTTAACTATAAAAAAAAATCTTTCATTTTTAAAGAATTATGAAACAGTTCCTGAAATATTTCATGCTTATTCCATGACGTTTTAATACTCCGGAATTGCTGCTACTTAATGATATGCTACAAAAATACAAACGGTGACTGAATTTGCGAGAGGAACGCAATTAGTGGCTGATGGTGGTTATGATCTTTCCCCCCACCCCAACTATTTTCCCAGTAAAAGCCTTACCTCTACACATAGTTGACACGATGGTTTGTCATTACCTCCAGCTGATTTAAACTGCAGTTTTAAAGTCAGGTGCTCTGTGAAGGTGATGTTCTTTATGAGCTCCTTGCAGCCCCGCTGTCGGCTTCTTAAAGCTGTGCAGTGCCGTGGAGGGTCTGGGAGCTTTTGGATTGCTGAAGTTCAGGAGCTGGGAATGCTGGTTGGTGAGGAGTCCCCCGAGTTGGGTCTGAGGGAGCTGTGGCAGTGTCTTTGTAGCATTCCAGTTTGTAAATGCCATACCTTGCCTAATACAGGTGATTTCAGGCTGCCTCATGTTTCTTCCTGCTAGGCCTAATAAGCAGCAGCATGAATCTGAGTAGGCAGGAGTGAGAGAAGTCATTAAAAGAGAAAAAGCTGGCTGGCCTCCCAGCAGGAATTATTTCCCCTTTTCTAGATTACATTTGTGGAATAGTTCTTTGTCATTTGTTTCTGCCTATTTGTTTGCCTATTTGTTTTGGTTGCCTATAGCAAAAAGAGGTGATGTTTTAAAACAGTTACCAGGTCTCCCCTTGCCCATGTTTTCATCACAGCTTTTCTGGGCATTTCTTCAAGGTTTGGGGAGCGGAGGATATTGGAGAGATCTTTTCTTTCTTGGCTTCTTCCAATTCCTTTTTTAATATGAACTCTTTCTAAAAGGAAATAGGCAGTAGCATCAGAATCTCCCAAGCAAGTGTTTTGTCTGAAACTTATGGAAACGGCGTACGATTCCTTGTATGGACATGTATGCAGTTAAGGTGTGGTCTACTCATTTTAAAAAAAAAAAAAAAACAGCATGGACTTTTTTTCACAGTTTTTTTTTTTCTTTTGATCTTTTTTTTGGAGGCTAGTGAGGAGGTACCTGAGGCACGCAGTGTAAAACGGGGTGACCAGCTCGCTGTTTCAGTGCTGTGTGCCTCCATACACCGCTGACAGATGCTGGAGGTCCTGTGCAGTTGTGTACCTGCAGTGACACAGTGACTTGTTAAGGTGGATTTCTCTTGTCCCCTGCTGGCTGTGTTGCACAGCAGGTCTGTGAGCACTGCTCACAGTAAGCAGTAGCAAATTTCCATATGCAAAAAACAAAACAAAACAAAAAAAGCTACCAACCGGACTCTTGCTGTTCTGTGGTTCAAATTATCTTTAGATTTTTGAGTTCCCATGAATTCTTTTATCACTCAGTTCCTCTAAAGCTGTCTGATAACTGAATATTCTCTTTAACTGGTAGGAAGTTGCTCCAGTTACAAACATTTTGACACATCTTTTTTGGCTACTTATAGAAATGTGTGGGCAGCTCAAAAGAGGTGACTTTTGATTTCACTTGACATTTCTGTCTTGCTGTTCACTGCACAAGTCAGTACCCAGGAGAAGCTATACTTACAGGAGTCATGTAATCTCCTAGACCTAAGATGGTTTTGAATGGAATCTCTTCGAATTACTGGAGGCTCTTTAGTGCAGCTGACATGGTGGTGCTTGGCACTGTCCCCTGGGCAAAGGGCTGCGTGCAGCTCGGGACCCCTTGGAAAGCTGCTTTAGGAGTGCTCTGGATGATGTGATGCTGTCAGCTGTCTCCCGTTCCCCTTCGTTCATTCTCTCACCTCTTCACAACTGGAGGGTCTCCCCTGGAACTTCCAGTTCACCTCCGTTCCTCTGCTCATGCTGTTTCCTTTGAGGGCTGTCAGGAGGACCCCCTGTGCCCCTGCCTCACGTCCTATGTGGGAGCTGCAGCTTCTTCTAACCTCCATCTGCAGATATCATTAGTTCATTTGGAACTAACTTTAAAACCTCTACAGTGCAAGACTTGTTCAAGGAAATGGAGCAGAGTAAATATTTCTTAATTGAAGAAAGCGTATGGCTACGTAGGCACTAAACCTACATAGGATATTTATTTTTCTTTGGATTTAAAACGTTGTACTAAACTAATATCCCCTTTAAGGAGCACAGCTCTCATAACAAGCCGTCTTCAATCCAAGATTTTTTGTTCAGCTGATTTGAAAGTAAACGTTGACACTTCAGTACAGTAAGCTTTTCAGTAAATAGAGGGCTTGGTCCTAATCTAAAAAGTAATCTGCGGACAAACACTTTTTCAGCATGCAGTTCGTTGATACCTAGGCTTGCCTCTGGGCAGGATGTGAGATTACTTCCTCTCAAGAAAACTGTTCTTTCCGTGGGTACTGCCTTAGAGGTGCAGAGGGTTTTCCTCTCCTACCTTTTGAGAGATTCCTTTCAGAGCTGTTTCTCTTAAAAATGAATACTTCAAATAAATACACAGAAACCAAGAATCAACATCACTTCAAAGCTGAGCAGCAGAAAAGAGTGTTCTCCTGTCTAGTTCAGGTGTGTAAAGTGCCTCCACAGATACAAATCTTCACTGTATAATCCTTCTTACAGTGCCTTTTCAGTACCTTTGTGTTTGTAGAAGATAGTAGGGTATATTTTATGTATGGTATGGTGACGAGGTAGAAGAGCTAAGTGGTTTTGTTCGTGATGCTTCAAAGCAGGGAAATTGTCATCAGGATTTATAAGCTAATATCCCTATGCTTGAGTTCAAATATTAGGAAATCTGGGTGCAGATCGTACGAGTTTTAGCTCAAATGCAGTCATAAAGCAGGGTGGCTTTTTTTGTTTTGAGACAGTGGGATACTCAGCAGTGTTATGAATGGGATCTCTCTACTCATGAATAGGATCAAAGTTAAAGCAAAAACAACAACAAGGCTTACTAAAAGTAAATCTTACATTATTTCAAGGTCTGCTGTGCAGGAATCAAATAACTGTATCAGTGCAAAATTCTTTTTAAAAAACCCTGAAAAGAAAGGAACGTTCCTCAAAATCCTAATTATACATTGGAGAGAAGGGATGAAACTCATTCCTAATTTGATATGCTTGTAGAAGGTGGTTGATTCTCTGCATTCAAACGTGGATTGAAATACAGCGGATTTTTCTACTACTGTGAACACAGAGTACATACAATGCAGAAGTGTCAGGTCAGAAGGAGAATGAGGGTGGAACAATATGAAAGCTTTGCAGACTCTCTTATGCTTACTTTCAGAGTTCTTGATTTCTTTTTTGGCTTGAATTTTCTGACTTTTTTTTTCCAAACAGTGTTTTGAAGGCGTCGTTATTTGGCCTCATATACTGATAAGCACCTCTGACATCTGAGTTTTGTTTTCCCTTTTTTAGGTCGACTGGTTATTCTGAGGTGATAGTTGTTGTTGGAGGCTGTGAAAGAGTTGGAGGCTTTAACCTGCCATACACCGAGTGCTACGATCCTGTAACAGGAGAATGGAAATCACTGGCCAAACTTCCAGAGTTTACCAAGTCTGAGTATGCAGTGTGTGCCCTACGGAATGATATCCTTGTTTCAGGTGAATAAACCTTGCAGTTCCTTCCAATTTGAGCATCTGAGTTGGTGATCCACTTATGCCAGCCCTTTGCAGTATTTTTTAGATACCCCTCACTTAGTCCTTCTAGGAAGGATTGATCATATAGTACAGCACATGTTAGTTTAAGCAAAGAATCTGTCTCCTCAGGTTTGTGGTACCTTTGTCATTTGAACAACATGTAAAAAGCAGGAGATGGTGCATGGATCAAAGAGAGGGGAGCGGCTCGTGTCAGCAATGTTCCCCAAGGCACAGCAGCAGTTAAGATTCCCGTTTTGAGTGTCTTGTCCGGGTAGTTGCACATGAGGAAGTCTGAAGAGCATGGGCAAAAGCCATTAAGCATTCTGATCTCAAGAAATAATCTGATGTGATAACAGCATGTTGCTGAGAGGTTTGCAGAAGTAAAACAACTTATCTATGTTTTCATGTTTTGAAATCCTCTGAAACTGACTTCAGTTGAGTATGTAAAGAGTATAATTCCAGTGCCCCTGTAGAGGGGCATGACAGTAGCTGACATTTCTCATTCTGGCATTAATTTATTCAGACTGGCATATCTTTGTTTTTAAAGGTGGAAGAATCAATAGTCGGGATGTATGGATTTATAACTCTCAGCTTAATATTTGGATCAGAGTTGCCTCCTTAAATAAAGGCAGATGGCGTCATAAAATGGCTGTTCTTCTTGGTAAAGTAAGAGAAGTACATTTATAATTCCTTCAGCTGGGATGTTTCATATGTGTAAGAAAGTAGTGAAGAAGACATACGTACATGTTTAGTATTACCTTGTTGCATGTCCCATTAAATCGTATTTCATATATTCAAATAAGGGAATATTTAAAATAATTGTGCTCTTGATCAGTCAATCACTGTCCATGGAACTGAAAATCCTCAAAGTTTTTTTTGTGAGCTGTCATCAAAATGTCTTAGCTCCACGTTTTGGGGGATTTTTTTGCAGGCAAAGATGTATCAGAATTCGCTCTCAAAATATAAATGATTTATGCTGTTTTTAAGAAAAAGCAGTACTGCTTTGTTTCTCTCTGTTCTTTTATTTAGTGTTTTATAGTGAAATTAACCTGCTATGTTACTGTAAGGAAATGGAGATTTATTTGTGCCTTAATGTGAAACTAGTAGTTGGGATCAGCTGACTCCATTAATGAAAGTTAGGGAAGGGCTCTGTGTGGGGTCCCTTGCAGTAAGTTTTAGAGATGCAGCAAGCAGAGGAAGCAGGGTGGGCACAATTAATAATGAGATCTGCTTCTTAAGTATGAGAGATGCCACAGGAAAGGACAGAGGAATTTACAGACTGAGAGGATGTACTTCTGTAAGCAAGTAGAAAAAAGTAAAACAGAGAAGCACAGGTGTGTTCAGGTGCACTTCTGCAGTTGCTCCTGCTGAATGTGGCCTTTCAATGCAAAATGCTGAGAAATGCCTTCTTTCGTAAGTGCCATTCAAATAGCAGAGTTCTGTTTCTGTTTTATTATAGCGTGTTTTCAATGTCTGTTTCCGTTGTCTTTCTGTGTGTGACTCAATGGAAACTCTCCTGGAACTATTAGGCCACATTCTTCTTCCATATAATATACATAATTTTTTTATGGAAGTATCCCTTCAAGCGAAAATCTAAAAATACAGAAATAAAAAATCAGCATTTCTGCAGCAGCATTATTTTCATATTGGAATGCAATAAGGACTGTAAGGAAGTGATGGTCGTTCTCACCATTTTGCCTAGGTGTATGTCGTTGGAGGATATGATGGGCAAAACCGCCTCAGCAGCGTGGAGTGCTACGATTCATTTTCCAATCGATGGACAGAGGTGGCTCCCCTCAAAGAAGCTGTGAGCTCTCCTGCAGTCACCAGCTGTGTTGGCAAACTGTTTGTGATCGGCGGCGGTCCTGATGACAACACGTGTTCTGACAAGGTCACTTAACTGCTCGCATCTCTTGTATCCATAGTAAAGAGAAATGCTGCTTTGAAAATGATCCGTTTTAATTGGCTTTGGATGGAGCATGGGATTGGAAAATTACAAAAATACGTAGCAGGAAACAGGAACTTATTAGTATGCTGTTACTTTGGTTTCTGTCGTGGACGTTGAATGTGCTGTGTGAGGCTTAAACCAAACTGTTTGGACAAAGGTGTTGAATATAGGCTATACAAAAAGACTGTTCATACGCACACCTGTATTTATATGGGCTTAGTTTTCTTGGTGAGGCACTGCCCACCAGGCATTGCTTCCTTCTCTGTCCACATCACAAACTGTGGGTGTGCCACACTATAATTTCGGGTGGGCTTTTAATCTCAAATGCATGTGTTTGTTTTCAGGTTCAGTCTTATGATCCCGACACTAATTCTTGGCTGCTCCGTGCAACTATCCCTATTGCAAAAAGATGCATTACAGCTGTGTCTTTAAACAATCTGATCTATGTTGCTGGTGGGCTCACCAAGGCAATATACTGCTATGATCCAGTTGAGGACTACTGGATGCACGTACAGAACACGTTCAGCAGACAGGTAATTAAACACAACAAGGCCTGTAAACGTCTGAAGGGTATTGATTGACATGAATATCTTGGGAGGAAATTAATAGAAGCTTATTTAAATCTCTTAAAATTGCATCTCTTGATTCCATCCTTGCTTTACTTCTTCACCTATATAATAGGCAACCTCAGAGAAGAGACTAAACTAATGGGTTTTAAGCTGAGAGCCAGTGTTAGCCAGCCCAGTCTTTGAGAGAAGTTACTGTTGGACAACAGGGTAACAGTAGAGTGGATAACATTTCAAGTGTCTAGAAATTGATCTCTGTCAAGCCATGTTATATTTTTTTATATAAATTGAAGACAGTAATTTTCTTATAATTGATTCTAGACATCATCAACATTTTTTGTTGCATTGAAAAGCTTTGAAGTGTGGATAGGAATATTGTACAGCACAGAAAGTATCTGACTTGAGCAGTGAGAGCCATGTCACTTCAGTATGTGGAACACAGCATGTGTCCCCCTCATTAATAAAGTGCATTTCTGTGTTTTATCCTTTTCCCTGTTTTTTTTTTTTTTTTTTTTTTTTTTAATATCTGTTAATCACACCCTCATCTGAGATTTGTACTTTTTCTAGTCCTTCCCTATTTTCTCACTACTTTCTGTTCTGGTCCCTATTTTACTTTCTTTGTTGCAAGTAAGGCAGAGTGTTGTCATTTCTCTATTTTCTTAGTGATGACCTGCTTTTTCCTTCTCCCTTGTTTATTTCTCCAAAGTGCTTCTACTTGTTTCTTTTTTTTTTTTTTTTCCCTTCCTACTGCAGTCCTTCTGAAATCCTCTGCTTCCCTCCTGCCTTTCCTGACCTCATATCTGTAAATGGTCATCTCTGAGTACAATATTCAGCTGTACTCCACTGCATCCTTTGTGCAAGCTATGCAAAGTAAAGGCTTGGACCTGAAAAAGCCCTTTCTGTAGGATTGTGTCACTGCTTTCTTCACACCCTGTGCTTTCTGCATTGGCCCTTTGAGAAGGGAATGGTATAGACCAGTCTGTTTACAAACAGTAGCCACAATGCTGTCCTTTTACTGGGGTGGACGTGCGTGAATTGAAATTTCTCTTTTTCAAATAATCACGTATTCCTTTGTGTATTTTGAAACAGGAGAATTGTGGCATGTCTGTGTGTAATGGAAAAATCTATATCCTTGGTGGAAGACGAGAAAACGGTGAAGCCACAGACACTATTCTTTGCTATGATCCTGCAACGGGCATTATCACAGGAGTAGCAGCCATGCCCAGGCCAGTATCATATCACGGCTGTGTGACCATTCATAGGTATAATGAAAAGGGCTTTAAACTGTAATTTTTTTGGAGAAGAAGAAAAGGAGAAGATGATGGCATGAATGAATCCAGTAGTCTGCTGCAAGACTGATATATAAATCCAAAAGTGGGAAAGTGCCCTTTCCCTATCTAAGTGTCATAAAAAATTGTATCCTGTGCCTTTTTGGGGAGAGAAAAAAAAAAAAAAAGCAAGGAGGGTTAATTTAAGTTAAACTAGTCTCTTGTCTACAAATCTAGCTAGTAACCAGACTGTGCTGTACTAGTGATCAGATGGTTGTCCTATGTGTGTTTAGTAATTAAATCTTGGAAGCTTTGTAGGGAAAGTGCCTTCACAAGCACTTGTGCCTGTGTCCTAAGTAGGGGTATCTACAAGGTGTTTCAGATTCTGCTAATTGGAAAAGTACATAGGCAAGTAAATCTCAAAGAATTATCCAGGATAATTACCTTCAATTAAGAAAAAAAAGCAAAACCCCAACTTGTATGATTACAATTCATATGCAATTCATTCTCACAAGCAGATTACATGGCTTAACCAAATAGATTTTATTTCAGATCATGCATGGTTTGAGATTTAAAGAAAAAGCAAAAACATACAAAAAAAAAAAAAGAGAGACTATGTAAGCTCCATAGGACAAATAGTAGATAAATGTTTTTCTCTGAAGAACAGCAACATCTTGGTTGTTTAGTGAGCCACTGCAACGTCTTGCAGCGAGGACTGTGTACCTTAACGCTATGGACCTCATTCGTAGTGTTGTTAAATGCCTACCAGAAGTGCACGGCTACATAACATGGAAACTAGTGACTACTGGGGCGTAGGTATGCTCTGTGAAACAAACTTGGAATCCTGGTTTTTAAATTCCTGAATAGTATAGATGAAGCCTGAAGGTTGCTGGGTTCACTCCCTGCTCGCTGTGAAGTGTCTCTAAATTACTCAAGGGATAAAGAAGAACGAACTCTGGATTCCGCTGCTGTTCACAATGGCGCCATGAATGACCTGGTACTGGAGGTGGGACTCAGTCTGTATCCTACAGCAAACAGATGGCTCTACAAGATCCGTCATCTGAAGAGATGATTCAGTTACCCCCCGAGTATTGGTCTGTCTTCAGACAATCACATCAGCACAATTCAACTAGTGCAAAAGCTGCTTGGCCACAGATCAGGAGTTCTGAAGGTCCTTCATGTCACTAGGAAAATAGCCGTGGAGATGTCCATGTAGCCATGAGAGGGTAGCTCCCACATAACATGTTTTGGCTCATTTTGTAGCCAGCAAAGCACGTGTATTTCAACCCGGATTTCCTTAGTAAAGGTATTTCTTCTAAGTCCTCTTTATATTTCTGCACTTGGTCTCCTTATTCCCATTATGCAGCTATACAGCTGAGGCACAAGTTTGTGAAAACTGAAATAGTACTTGAGAGCTGGAAAATGAGTAGGATCTTCTATCTTCTGATTTCCTGTTAGTCACCAGAAAACTTGGGAACTCCCTTTCAAAGGAATTCTGACAGCAGCCAGTAGGGAAGTTGGTCAGTGCCAGGGCAGAGAAAAGCATACGGTTTGTGCAGAGGTGAGCTGGCTTCAGCATTCTGGTGTCCATGCTTACTCAGGAGGGTAAAACAAGCACCATCTCTGGAACGCCGTTTGCTCTGCTGGACTTTCTTCACCATCTTTGTTTCTTCACGAGATGGAAATTCTGACCCTCAGTGAAGCTGTGCCAAATTGGGAGTCATCGTTTTCAGTACCATGCGGTCGTGACTTTTAAAGAGCACTGGGAGCTGCACTTTGTGATGCATTAACTTGCAACCTCAGGAAAGGACACTTTTCAGTTTCTGGCTGAATACCAAACACTGTTTTGTATATGTAAAGAATATTGATACAATACGAAATTCTGCATATCAATGATGTAATTAGGAAATGAGCCCCGTGTACATTCACATTGCCCTAAATAGGAAGCCATTTGGTAACCTAAGACAGAACTTAGATATAAATGGAATCCTTTTCTAAGTTTCTTGTGTGTCTGCTCGCTGAGTGTTGTTCAAAAAGGTTATTTTAGTACCTGTGAATAAGGTCCACTGATAGCAATGGTAATTGCCCAGTAACTGATATGATATACTAACACTGTATATAACTTGTGCCATCATTGTAAATGAAAATGTAAAAAACAATAGGAGCACTTCATTAGAGATGCAGTTTGAAAAATATTCTTCCTTCCTCTGACAACCTTCATGTTTATATTAAGATTTGTGATGTTGATTGTCATGCTAAACTGTTTCTAAGCATTCTTGATTCAGTGTCATTTATGTATAGGTATCCTTTAGTCTGTTTACAATACTGCACTACCCTGTAAATAGTGAAATACTGCTTTTTATGGTTTTGAAAATTCAGTTTAGAGTTGCATTGTATTTTCTTAACAAATTATGTACTGTTACCTAATATTTTTAAAACTGCAAGAGTTGAATGAACTAGTAAATGCAGAAATGTAGATGTAGAAGAAAACTTCTAGTTGCAGTTCTTGGGAACCTGTATGCAAAGCCAGGCAGTTAGGTGTGGAGCATTGCTAGAATGGTAGTTATTCATGTAGTTATTTCCTTAGAGCAAGCAGACACTTTCTTCTTGCTTTTTGAGTCTAATTTGCACTTAAGAGCTGCTCTCATAGAAATGTATTTTTAAATGTGGTAGAAGAGAACGATTGAACCGTGTTTGCAGAAGGATACGTTATTTAGGAGGCTGCCTTCCTGAGGCACCTGTTCTCTGATGTGTTTCACCTGAGTGTAGATGGAGTCAAAGCTTAAACCTCTCTGCGCTCTGGCTGACTGCAGTTTGTGGTTGAGCCGGTTGATTTTTTGTTTGTTCGTTTTTCCTCCCTCAGCCAGGGGAGAAAGTTTTGAATGTCTTCCACCATAATGGAAAGATTTGCATCATAAATGGTAATAGGTTTAGCATCTCCAAAGCAAAGCAGTGCTGTCAGCCTAACTCTGTGCAGGCACAGGGATCAGGTCTCCCAAAGTGCAAATAGGTGCAAATATTAAGAGCTGTCTAAAATTTCCCTCCGTTAAACAATTAATTATCCATTCTGTATTCCACACTTAGAAATTAGAGTAAATATTTTCCTTCTGTATTTTGATATCCACTACATCCTGTTCCCAAGTTCATGAGATACGTCCTTCCATTCTTAGCAATGTGATGTAAACTCAGAAGAAACTTAATATTTTTTCATCCTGGCTTTGGGCAGGTTCTGTGCGGAAAACGTGAGTGCAGCTGGTGCCTTTCTGCTTGTAGCGAGCCTGTGTGCCCTGTTGTTCCTCAGCTGTCAAGCATACAGCGTGGCCTGGTAGTCAGTCAGTTTGCTGTAGGCTCCCTTCTTGTTTGTGCCTATATAGGCATCATTTGTGGATTCTCTCCTGTTTGTACCATTAGACAGCTCATTTCCCAGAGTGGGCCTGGTACCTTTTGTGAATTAAGCTCTGTGCTTTCTTATTTATAGCACTGTAAGTCCTGAGTTGTACTGATTTATTTTTTAATTGGCACCCGTGCAGCTCTCACTAAAGACTGCTTATTTCCACTGTGAAGCACAGATATGTTTAATGTGAATGATGCTGATATGGATCCCCTTGATAATTGACTCAAGCTTTTTAAACAGGATTTGTAACCCTGCAGTGTCTGAGAGGCCGATGGTACAGGAACAGGAGGTGCTCACTTTGACAGGGAAGTCGGGCAGGACCACACTGGCTGCTCCAGCTTCTCAAGTAGTTGAGCTCCGGTATGATAGCAGCTACGGTTGCAGTCTCCAGTTTCCTTCTGCAAGCACCTTCCAAGCACCGCTTGGAGCTCCCCCTCATGAGTAGGTGAAGCTGTGAGCTCGGCCCCACAGAGAGACCAGATTGAAGCTTCTGGGCTGAGGGACGGCAGGAGGAAGGGCAGGGCTGTGCCTTACACTGGCCTTGCTGAATGCAGGCTGTTCTGCACGGCCATTAGTTTGCAATTCCTGAAACTCAGTTGGTAAAAATGTTTTGTGCTTGTCAGCTTCCCTAACTTGGAAGGGTGCATGCTTGGGTGAGGAAAGGCAAAGATTTGTTTTTCTGAACCTTTTATGCCAGCAATGAGGATGGCAAAAGCGGCTTTGAGAGCATTTAGGGCTCTATCACAGTGAGGTGACGTCAATGTTTTCATCTGAATGTGGGCCCACCGTCAAGAAAGAGCAAATAAAGCAGTCAGTGAACGCATGCCCTGTGCGTGCTGCTGGCTGTCCCCACCTGCACGGCCCTGAGCGCCGCACTGCCCACACCGCAACGGGTCTTCTTTCTGCTCTGCGTGCCCGCCTATGTGTGAGCGGCCTGATGCTTTTACCGTGACACCCTTACGAGTGATGCAGTACAGTACTGTAATTATGGCTTCCTTCGTACTGAGTTCCAAAGAAAGCGTTAATTTTGAAAATCTCCGTGCCTTGAATTCATGTCTGTTTGTCTGTCATGGAGAAGAGTTCGTATCGCTCCTCCTGGCCTCGCTCAGGGCCAGCTGCTGCTGTTCTTCTGAGAGAGAGAAACGCTGCCGCCGCCAGCACGAAGCGCAGCACGGCCTGTGTTCGGAGCGCAGGCAGAAGCTGCTTCCGCAGCACGGCAGCGCTGTGGCGGGTGGAACCGCGGGACGGCGGCGTTGTTCCTCTGCCGCCCGCTTCGGCGCTCTGCGCGCGGGGCTCTCCCGGTTGCGCTGACAGCGGGAAGGCGGTTCTGTAGCGTAGCACCATTGCAATAACATTTACCTATTGCATTTAAGCGTATTTCTTGCATAAGTCTTTTTCTTTTTTTAAGTTCGATGTACCTAATAAACATTTGCCTTTGGAACGGCTGCCTGTGCCGCGTTGGGGCTGCGGGGGAAGGGCGCTGAGGGCGGGGTTGGAGGCGCGGCGTCTCCGCTCCGTGTCCGCCTGCGCGGGCTCCTCCCCCTGCGACGCGGCGCGCGGTGATGGCGGCGCTGCGGCGGGCGGCGGGACGGGGCGCGGGGCGGCGCTGAGTGCGGGGCGGGGCGGGTGAGGGAGCGGGAGGAAGGCGCGAAGGAGCGCGGCGGCCGCTTTGTGCGCGCGGCGGGGGGAGGGGAGCGGCGTGCATGTGGGCTCCGCACCGCCCCGCACCGCCCCGCACCGCCCGCAGCCTGAGGGGAGCGGCGGCGCCCGGAGCTCCGCGCGAGGCGGAACAAAGACCGCGCCCCTCCGCGGGGCGGCGCCGCCACCAGCGGCACCATGTCCGGCGTGAGGAGAGCCCTCGCCGAGAAGGACCCCGACTACGAGGAGATCGCGGTGGCGCCGCCCAGCAAACGGCACCGCGCCGCCGAGCAGTCAGGTGCGGGGCGGGGCTGCGGGGACGGGGCTGCGGGGACGGGGCTGCCTCGCGGCCCGCAGCGCGCCCTGCGTCTGCACGCACGCGTGTGCGGGGCTGCATGGCTGTATCCTGATTACGTCTCCTGATTTCTCTCTCTCTCTCGGGTCCCCTCGGGCTGCGCTGCTCGTTGCGGGCACCTGGGGCTGTGCCGGGTTTGGGTTTCTCGTTTCTTCGCTCTTCTCCTTGCTGGGGCATCGCAAGCCCCCGTGCAGGCACGTGCCGCTCCGCCGGGCGGGGCCTCGGCCCGAAGCTCTGCGGAAGGACGGGCGGAGCCGGGCGGAGCGGCGCGGGCAGAGCTGGGGGCGGCCCGGCTGTGCCTGGAGGGCTGTAAGGAAGGAGGGAACAGAGTCGGTAGCTGGGTCTGTGGCGGTTGATAGGACGAGGGGAAATGGCTTCAAACTAAAAGAGAGAAGATTTAGATTGGATGTGGAAGGACTGTTTTTACGAAATGTAACCTCACCACTGGCACAGGTTGCCCAGAGATGCGGTGGGTGCCCCAGCCCTGCAGACACTGGGGTCAGGCTGGACAGGGCTCTGAGCACTGTGGTGTCACTGTGCGTTGCGGGGGAGTTGGACAGAATGACCTTTGTAGGTCCCTTCCAACTCCAACAGTTCCATGACTGAGTTCAGAACAAGCCCTGAGCGCTGCTGCCTCCTGCTCTGCTCAGAGGCAGCCTGGATGTGACAGGGATGTGACAGGGATGTGGCTGTTCCCGGCCTGCCCTGTGGTGCATGGCTGTGCTGCCAGAAGGTCAGACGGCTGTCCCCAGAAGCCCCTCAGACAGCAGCACTGCTCTTCCAGGCCTTGCCTGGGCCAACAGGCTTGGGTGTCTTGAGTCCCCCTTGTTCAGCAGGAGGGTCTGCACGAGGCTGCCAGCAGCAGGCTTTCCTCTGTGGCCTGTAAGAGGTATGCGGTCATTCGCCTCGTGCCGATGCTAAGCTCAGTAAGTAAGTGTGCATTACTGCTGCTGTGTGATGTGGTGTAAACTTCCTGGGTATGAACTGGGCTGGAGGCAGCGTGCACAGCACTCCCAGACGCACAGCTGAATGGTACCTGCATGTGGTGACAACACACCGGGCTTTTCCTTTTGCTGCTCACAGCTTTAGTGAGACAAAAGTAAACAAACCTGTCCTCTTCTGCCCGCCTCAGGCCTGGAGAGAGACAATCTGCTTTCTACACAGGCCAGCTGGTAGAGATGCATATGCTTCTTAAGAAGACAGATTACATTTTTTTTGCACAAAAAAAAGATCTTTAATGTTGTTTTACAGAGAGAGTGGTGAGGAGCTGGAACAGCTGCCCAGAGAGGTTGTGGATGCCCCGTCCATCCCTGGAGGTGTTCAGGGCCAGGTTGGATGGAGCCCTGGGCAGCCTGGTCTAGTATGAAATGAGGATGTTGATGGCCCTGCATGTGGCGGGGGGGTTGGAGATTCATGATCCTTGAGGTCCCTTCCAACCCTGGCCATTCTGTGGTTCTGTGATTTTGGTGCTGAAGCTATCACTCCAGTTTCTGCTCAGTGACAATTTATGTGTGGTTTTTTTGTTTTTTTGTTTTTTTTTTCAAGTGAAACCTCAGAAATAGAACAATTTCCTTCTTTTTTTTCCATGTGTGGCCTCATGCAGCTCGAGAT